GGTAGCAGGGAAAGTGGCAAACGGTAACGTGAACTGATATTTTTCCTTTGTTTTTGTAACACTTTTTGGTTTCCTGCGCGGTCGATACTTGTAATCCGGGTGCTCTTTCATATGCAACGCACGCAGGCGTTTCGCCTCATCGATGAATGGCCTTTTCTCTGCATCGCAAAGCTGCTTCCATTCTGCTCCTGAAATAATTTCACATCCCGAAAAGTACCGTGCTATTCAATGAATTTATAAATTTAGAAAGTATTTGCCGCGCTTGTAATTCTGCGACACTGATCTGTAGAACTGGCACTTACTGTGCAAGAAACTCAGTGAAATTCGTTGGACTATAACACTGTGGTACTCACCAATTCAAAATTCGGTAGTACTCATTCAGTAAACTTGTGACTCCATAGATTTATCCGGACTTGAACAAGTCTTATCAAAAATGCAGATTGTTGCTCTTTACTTTTAGACTCTTAACGCTCAGTAGTGATACTTTTTGTACAATGTTGTTGTAAAGAAAAATGTTATATATATATATATATATATATATCGTCGACAAACAAAAAAACATTTTACCTAAACGTTTGCTGATCTCACTGTTATGCATTTTCGGATTATCCTGAGCCATTTTCCGCCGCTGCCCTCTGGACCAAACCATGAATGCATTCATTGGCCGCTTCACGTGAGATTCCACAGAAAGTTTGCCGTTACTGAGACCCACTGCATTATCTGGAGTTTAGGAAAAACTTAGAAAGTGTTTGGCTTTCTTTGCTAGCTAGAGGCGATAGCCAAGATTTTTCCAATTTAGTCAGAGGGGATTTTTTTTTCTACTACTGAGCTTCAAGTTAAAAAACCAAAAAGAAAATGAAGGAAGGAACTGTCAGCGTTTTCGTGGCGTACCAGTCATCGATCCGGTTTTTTCCACCGCTCTCTCCAGCTCCTCTTCAAACATCCCTCTCTAGCTCCCAGACCATTCTATTCATGTTTTTAAAGGTAGCCACAATGAACTTTTAAAAAACTTGAAAAACTCAAATCCCAGCACTAGTCTCACACTGCTGATTCCTGCTTGTTTCGGAACTCTGTGTTTAACAGAAATGCTGTTGTTTTCAAAATTAGCAAACTAGTACTGGTCCAATCATTTCAGGATACGTGCTTGTGGAAAAAATTGGAATTCCTGACCGTAATAATCAAGAATTTAGGAAGTGGCTATTTTTTTTAATTTATTTTTTTCACTCGCAGTTATTTTGAAAAGTTATTAGCTGCTCCCGAGGAAGTGGCGCATATACATTAGACAGGCAGCAGGTAAGTTACGTAGTTAGAGGGGCCTGGCATAGCAGTGTTTGGCGTTCAGCAGTATCCCAGCAACATTATTGTAATACCAACGCCGGCAGTCCAGAAGATCTTGTATTTATTGCTCTTTGTATTAGACTTTTATGTCTGCTGTCAGAGGTCATGTTTCGGCAAGAATTCTGCAAAAATTCTGACCTCATTTGCTCCTCTAAAACTCTAAAAAGTAAATAGTCGGAAATAGCAGTGCGGAAACGACAGAAATTAATTTTTGGCGCTACAAGATCAGTGAAAGCAGTTGAAGTCAAGAGCTCCTAGACAATTTTTGCTGAGATATGATTTCAGTGCACAAAATTACTGGTAGCACCACAGTTTAATGAAGACGGAAATGTAAAGAATTCACTTTAACGAAAAGATTTGCTGGTCATATATGATTTTATGCAAGTTTTTGCGTTAACATTCTGCT